GGAACAGGCTGCCCAGGGGGTTGTGGAGTCTCCTTCTCTGGAGATATTCAAAGCCCCCTGGATGAAGTCCTGTGTAACATGCTCTAGGAGAACCTGCTTTAGCAGGGGGGTTGGACTAGATGATCTCCCAAGGTCCCTTCCAACAACCCTTGCGATTCTGTGAAATAAGGTGAAAAACTGAAGGAAGGGGGAGCAGAATTCCTGAAGTAAGGAGGTCAAGGTGTTGCAAGTGTTGTGGTACTCTGGAAAAGTAAAATCGAGGTATATGCTGCTCTTGCAAAATTGTTCTGGTGTCTTCTTGTTTTCCCTCAACGCTGGTTTATCCCAGGAGTCAGAAAGTCAGAAGGGGCAGGAGACAGCTGTGTGCCCTTTTTTTTTTTTTTTTTTTTTTTTTTTTTACCAGGAAAATTTAGAACAGGAATCTACTGGGGTATAGAGTTTCTCTCTGGTTCTCCCTGATCTAAATCTTTTCATCACTTAATCAACATTGTACTCTGAACAGAGTTTACCTTTGTGATCAACTGTCTTAGTGTGCAAATGATCCAGTTCTAGTGACAAGCAGGACCCTGAACAACTCTGTGTCAAGATTCATAAAGCTTTTGTGTTTGCTGGGTCCTTGTTTATCAGCAGTTCATACGGCACACTTAATTATTATATTCTCCGATCCTGTATGTATACTTCAGAGCTTCTGTCTTGCCCTACTTTTGATGACCATCTTTAGGAATGGGGAGAGAGGGAAGCAGCTCTTAAGCATCGCAGGGCTGGAACTGGTGTCTAGGTTGCAAATAAAGAGCAGGAATTTGAAGGATACTGAATTTGATTTGCATCTCGGGATTTTCTGTGACTTACAGAGTGACCTCTTTAAACTATTGCAGAGTAAGATTCTTTTTTCTTCTCCAAACTAATGTGGGATAAAAATAATTGTATGTGAAGCTGGTACCGGTGAGCATGGTATTTTGAATCAAAACATTAATATGTGTTTTCCTTCTTTAGATATGTCAAAGGTTCAAGATGATGAAGTTGGTGATGGAACTACATCAGTCACAGTGTTGGCAGCTGAATTACTGAGGGTGATGTATTACAGTTTTTCAGATGTGTTTCTACTTGGCAATGTACTCCTGTGATAGCAACAGGAGGTGTGTTATTTGATGTTTATGAAGAGGGCTTCCAAAGTATAGGAATACCTTGCTCTGTTGCCGTTGAGATTGATAGGAAAAAAATGCCTTGGGTATTGCATCACCTATTGTTTTTTTTTTTCAAACTATTTTATTACTTTATTCTTTATAAATTCACGAGTATTTTAATTTGGTACATTTTAGAAAATTATTTTCTCTTATTTCATTGTGCAAGTGAAACAAAAAATTACCACTCTCACAGGTCGCTTCCTGGATGTTGCACTGGGAAGCATGCAGCACTGCTTAATTGTGAGGTTCACTCATCTGAAATCCCTTTCTATAACATTAATGAGAAAAAAAAGGCATGTTAAATTCCCGTGTTGTGTGCACAAGACCTGAATTCATACTGTTTCTTTAAACTCCGCGTGGTTTTTATGTTTACATAGAAGCTTACACTGCCAAACTAAATCTGAAATTACTAGGAAAGATAATTCAGAAGTGAGGAATTCTTGTTAGCAGAGCTGTGCCAGTAAATCTAATCATCTCAGATCCAGGAACTGTGATCAAAAGCATATGAGAAATGATCCATCAGCTTGTAAAGTTCCTCGCAAAAAGGGAGTTTAGAGTTTTGTTTTTTTTTTTTTTTACCAACTACACTTTAAGTTGCAGCTATAAGTGAACAGGAAACTGATCTCAAACATGAAGTGATTGCTGTTTTGAAGTATATGTCTGGTTGCTATTCATATTGGAGTTAGGATTTCTTTTTCATTAATCAAAATTTCATGATGGTATTCCAAGGGCAGATCATATTTGCCTGGATTGGAAAAAAACCTGCCAGTAGGGTGACTTTAATCTCATTGTTATAGCTCTCTGGGTTTTAGTGCTATTCAGAATTTTCTAATTACTTGGAAGTGTCTTTCCTAGTTAGTGTAAATGCACCTTGGGGGGGAAAACCCCTAATTATTAATTTGATTTAACTAGGAGGCAGAATTACTGATTTCAAAGAAGATTCATCCTCAGACCATCATTGCAGGCTGGAGAGCAGCCACAAAAGCTTCAAGAGAGGCACTTTTGAAAGCAGCTGTGGATCATGGGTTAGTAATGTACATTTGCTGTAACTCTTTATTAACCAGTCAAGGTTAAAACATCAGTGAGATTTATATACCATTAGGAAATTCTTTGCTCTCTTCTAAGTAGTATAAAGGCTGAATTTATGAATTTTAACAGTTAAGTAAAAAAAGACTGCTTTTTTTGAGAATGAACTAGAATGAACTAGAACCAGAGCTTTATGACATTATTTAGAATTACTTAAAATGTGCAGAAACAAAATACAAGCAATAATTTTCTCCCTAGAACAAAAATCTGAGCTGTTATTTCAGATTTCATACTCTGATTTTAAATGTGACTATTTTCTTTAGCCAACACTTTGAGAGCACAGACTTTCTAAAGCTGAATGCAAAGGTTCTCCTAAGTGAGCTTGTATTTAAAATAAAATGTTGTGTTTTGGGACGCTGGAGGGATTCTGTGTAACATTCCTCAAAAAGGGACATGGTACACTTAGATACAAGCTAGAAGAAGCAGGCAGAGACTCACAGTGATAGCTTGATGATAGTTAAGGCTTTCAGACTTTCCACTTTAACTCTACTGACTTTATTTTAGTAATGATGAAGTGAAGTTCCGTGAAGATTTGATGAACATTGCGGGAACGACTCTTTCATCAAAACTACTCACTCATCATAAAGATCACTTTGTCAAGCTAGCTGTAGAAGCTGTTCTTAGGTTGAAAGGTTCTGGTAATTTGGAGGCTATCCACGTCATTAAGAAACTTGGTGGAAGTTTGGCTGATTCCTACTTAGATGAAGGTAAGTCTTTGTATGTTGGCTGTAAGCGCGATTGAGAAATGAAGTTATTAGAAGTTACACATCCCTCTACAAATCTGTTCTAGAAAACATTGCTCTGTTATTAAATGGAATAATATATATGAGGGTGTGTGTGTAACAATTTCAATTAATTGTTCTCCTTTTTTAATTTGAAGTCTTACAAGACCTTTCTGTTACTACAGGCTTTTTACTTGACAAGAAGATTGGTGTAAATCAGCCAAAAAGAATTGAAAATGCAAAGATTCTTATTGCAAATACTGGTATGGATACAGACAAGATTAAGGTATGTTACGGAACTATTGTTGTGAAATGATGTTTTTGTAATGGAATTAATTTTAATGAATGACATAAACATAATTTATGTAGACATCATTTATGGAATTAATTTTTAGACTGAACTCTTTTTTTTCTTTGATTTAGATTTTTGGTTCTCGCGTTAGAGTGGACTCTACAGCAAAAGTAGCAGAAATAGAACAGGCAGAAAAAGAAAAAATGAAGGAGAAGGTAGAGCGTATTCTTAAGCATGGAATAAACTGCTTTATTAACAGGTATGTGTTTTCTTGGAAAAAGGGGAGAGTTACAAAGTAGGAAGACTTTAGTATTGTATGAGTGTGAAGAACGTTATTTATGGCTGTATCTGTAAAATGAGGTGATCCTGCCTAATGCTTAAGTGATTCACCTCACTGAGGTCACTGTTATTTTCTGTGCTTCCTCTCACGCAATGTGGCCCCCCCTTTCTTTTTTTGTTTGTTTTGTTTTAAAGAGGAAGAACTGATGTTTAATCAGGGATCCATGTTTAAGTCCAGTTGAAGTGATGTCACTTTTGTACGAACATATTTCTTTAGTTAGGAATACCAGCAGCATTGCCCACGTCCATTGGAGCTCCAAATGGAGCTGAAAGAGTCTGTGCGGCTGAACGTATTTAGTTCACATTGAACCAGCTATGTTCTATCCTATACGAACTTATTTCTTTAGTTAGCATTGCCCACGTCCATTGGAGTCTGTGCAGCTGAAGGTGTTTAGTTCACATTGAACCAGCTATGTTCTATCCTGCATTAAAGTGCTGGTGCCGAAGTACTGCTCCAAATTCAAGAGTGTTTCAGAGGCCCCTGTGCTCCCCACCATGAGCCTTTTATCCACATCTTTGAAAGTGTGAAAGATAACCATTTTCATGTAATGATTTACTCAGCTCATAAGAAATGTCAGAATCTTAAGTTACTTATTTTTGTTGGCAGTGAACTTCTCTTTTAAACTGTCACAGTACAAAAAAAGCATTCAGTTATTTAACGATATGAGAAATGCTTCTGCCTTTCAGTAATTCTCATTTGAGTGCAACTGCCATACGTACGAGCAGCTTGACACCTGGTGTTTCAGCTCATCGCGTAGTCTGCTGCAAAGCTGATTAGCTAGTACTACACCAAAGGATAGGAGCTGTTAAGAGCAGCACTGTTTTCCACAATAACAAAGATGTACTCTTTCAGGACATAGTGCATCATATAACTCGCCTTCAGAATTTGTGTTGAACATCTGTAAGAACCACTGACAGACTGATGAATCTCATAGTCTCTCCATCTATCTCATGTTTCATGTACGTTGTGGGCAAGTGTAGGCAAAATAGGTATTCTTTCCAGTGAATGTGATACAAATACAAAGACTCCTGGAGTCAGGAGTCCTGTTGGCAAACTGATGGAAGAATCCTTCTGAGGTATGCAAAAAAAAAAAAATAATCCTGAACTCAATCACTGTTTTCCAGTACACTTGTAACAGAGGTAGTTGCCCTAAGGAAGCTCAGGTAGCAGTCAGTCACTGTAGCCAGGCTAGTGGTATTCCAATTAGATTAACTCTCGACTTCAGATTTATTTCCTGACAAAATTTACTTCCTCTTGTAGGCGCACTGTAGATCCACTTCACATCTGATACAGTAAATGTTAGCCAGTTACAATACCTCTGAGGAGGTGCTTGACAAAGGTCAAGGCTCTGTGGATGCAGAGTTGGAAGAATCTTCTCTGCACATACCCAGCAGTGCCAGTTGTCGCTTTTGAAGATAGATTAGAAACATTTTTTTTGACAGATGGCATCTCCCAGAAAAAAAAATTCAATCTCTAATTTGGAAGGGAAAAATAATTTGGCATAGCACTCCTGGATGGTCATAGACCATCCAGTTTCAGATGACGACTTCGTTCTAGAGAGAGTGGGGTACATACTAATAAGGGAGCACATACTCTTCTTTGTGGTCTGCTGTTTGTACATGTTCTCATACAGTTGTCTGCTGTTTGGATTTTGTATTGGTGGAGGAATTAGTTGTTACTTTCACATGTTACTGTAGTGCAGTCTGCTAGAATAGGCAGTTAAGTGCCCAGCAGGCATTTAGGATCAAAGGACTTTAAACGTGTGGGCCCCTGTGCATTGATAGTGTGTCATCAGGGGAAGGGTATTTCAAAGAACTGTAATAGTTTGCTTTTTTTTTAGCTTTGTATGTTTTCCTGTCACTGCATTTGCTTCTGTGTGGTGTAAAATTCTGTGTGGCAGGTGCCTCACATATTGACTGCTTTTGTAGCTTGTTCATGCTACCGAGAATCAGGTGTACTTTGTTACTCTGGTATTTAAAAGGTTTGTTCCGTGTGTAATGGGAAGATGTGCCTGTGTTTTAATTGTAGACAGTTGATCTACAACTACCCTGAACAGCTCTTCGGAGCTGCTGGCGTCATGGCTATTGAACATGCAGACTTTGCTGGTGTCGAACGTCTGGCTCTTGTTACAGGTATGCAGAGTGCCTTGTTCTGTGAAACTTGGTGGGTCATGTTATTTGTTTGATCTTTAGTAAATGTTAATGCTTGATGACCTAGTTTGTGCTTTTTACAATTAGCAGATCTGTGAATGTGAAAAGTACTCTAAGCTTTATTGTACAGTAGTTAAATACAAATGTACACAGAGGACCCTATGAAATTGGCCATAAGAAACTTTCAAATGACTTTGTTGATTTATCAACTGCTATAGAACTGTCAGGTTTTTTTCAGAAGCAGGTAACTCAGTTTCTATCTAGTACGTTGTATTTCACATCTAAAATGTCTGTTTTGATTCTGAATCCTCCCCGCATAACGGAACATACTCTTTTTTTTTTTTTTTTTTTTTTTTTTGTCCCCTGTAGTGGCTGTGAATAAAGGTTCATGATGCTTACTGTGGAATATAATTTAGCCAGTTAGTGCCATTTAGTAATCTTTTTTTCATATTAAAAAATATTTTCAGTTAAGTCCCTGCTTGATAAACTTCTGAAATGTTTGTTTTCTAGGGAAAAGATGAAACTTGGTGATAGAATACGATAATAATTCCACAAATTAATTAATACCATTTTGTTATATGTGGCTGCAAATAGTAATCCTTTGTTAAAAGTGTGGGCCTGAGTCATTGACCTGAGGTGGATCCAGGATGAACATCCTGGATATTTTTAGTAGTGGTTAGTGGAAATGTGAGTCTAGTAACTAATGAAAATGAAACATCTGGAATGCTCCAGATGATTGTCATTGCTGAAGTTAAAGGTTATGGAACATCATAAAAAATTGATTATGAAAGTGATCGAGAGAATGGATAGCTTGCTGGGAGAAGAGAAAAGATACTGACTTGTTTAGCTTAGCAAAACCTAAGTAGCAATTGTGTATAACTGTCTGCAGGCACATTGACACAGGCAAACACTTGATTGAGAGGAACATTGCTTATGTTCTGGAGCAAATTCAAAGCAAATTTTGTAGGCAGAGCAAGTGGGCCATATTGGACCACACTGGATCAAACAGTATAGCTGAAAAAAATAGACAAGCTTTTAGTAAGTACAAACCCTCTACTACAGATCTTGTCTGTCTTAGTAGTGCTACAACTACACCAATGCTGCAAGCTGAGGTGGAATAACTGAGCATACATTGGGAGTGAATACATGTAAATTGTTTTCTAATGTGAAGAGCAAAGTACTAGAACAATATTACATTCAGAGACATTTTGGTCTTTGTAGCATCCGTTTTGTTTATGATATGGGAATTTACGAACAGTGCACTGCATTGCTGCTATGACATGAGACTCATGATTCAGGAGAGGGGTGGTCAGTGGTTCTCGGCCATTGTCAGGCAGGCAAAATGAATGCTGGCTTAAGTTCAAGTTTAAAAACATAACTGACTTGATTTGTTATTTTATAAATACTTCATCAGTAAATACTACTAGAACTTTAAACAGATTGACATTTTAATACTGGCAAATATCAACATTTAATCTCTAATCCAGACAGAACTCAAAAGCAGTACAGCTATTATAGTTCTTGTGATGTGAAACAAAATATTAGTGTTTTAAGGACTTGTCAACGTTAGTAGATGATTTCTGATTTCATCCTGAGCTCTTTGACTTTTGTATGATCTTACATTTGTAGGTGGTGAAATTGCATCAACCTTTGATCACCCTGAGCTAGTAAAACTAGGAAGCTGCAAGCTTATTGAAGAAGTCATGATTGGAGAAGATAAACTCATTCATTTCTCTGGAGTGGCGATGGGTAAGTGTTTTACCGCTCATGGCACACTGTAACATTTGTGTGAACCCTCTGCTAACACTGTTCAGTTACCAGGCTGGCATAGGAATTTTGTAGTGAGACATGCAACCACTTTTATTAAATTCTTGCTCTTCAATAAAAATCCTGCAAAAATGTTCATGGTTGAAATTGTTCATCTACATAACATTAAACATACACATAAGCATTTGTAAGGATGTGAACCAAAATTTCTGCTTTGAGAGATAAATTGACAAGAAAAGTAGCAACTTGTCATACTTAGGAACTTGAGAGCTTGTTCTGTAAATGCCAATACTGTAAATTTCTGAGGGGTTGTTTCGAGGTAACATTCATTTTCTATTAAATTAAAAGATGTGGAACAGCTTATTGATAAAAGCCGTAGCATAGTATACATAATTTCATTCTATCTGTGAAATGTCATTATGCTTTCTTTTTGCCCCCAAATTGGTTTGCGTAAAGCTTGACTGTGGTGATAGCAAAACCATTACAAATGCCTTGCAATAGCCTCTTTTTGTGTCTTTTTTTTTTTAATATTTTTGTATTTACACTTTTTAGGTGAAGCTTGCACCATAGTTTTGCGTGGAGCAACACAGCAGATTCTAGATGAAGCAGAGAGGTCTTTGCATGATGCTCTCTGCGTTCTTGCCCAGACAGTGAAGGACACTAGAACTGTGTACGGCGGAGGTGAATATTGGATTCTTTGTGCTTTGTACATGATACACATTTCGTGTTACTGTTCAGGTCGGATACAAAACATCTGTGTGTCTTCCATGAATAGGTTGTTCGGAGATGCTGATGGCTAACGTTGCAGAACGTGCCATCAGAACACCTGTGAAAGAGTCTGTTGCAATGGAGTCCTTTGCTAAGGCTTTACGAATGGTAAGTTTGTTTAATCAGATCGTTGGGTTAACAGATGTAAAGTTTTACTAAGTTTACTAACTTCTGACATCAGATAGTTGCTTTTCTTTCAAAGTTTTGGCTTTCTAAAAGTAAAAAAAAAAAGTGAAATGTAGCAACATATCTTGGATGAACAAAGGGGAGAAAGTTAGTGTTTTCTGTCTTAGGGAAAAAAAGTCTGGTGTTTAAGTAATTCTGTATGTTACAGAATGCTGAATGTTCATATGCTACCCCTCTTCTAAATGGTTCTTGCTCCTCTTACCTGCAAGGTTAAAAGTGCAGCAGAAATAGCGCATAAAAATCTTGGCTGATTCACTTGACAACTGATTTAGGAAAGAACAACCCTTCGGTTCTATTAATGCTCTAGTGCTATTTGATTGTATTCATGCTCTAGTACTATCTAGAAGTTTCTAGACTTGTATGGAAGATTGCATCTTAGTAGGAAGTAAGAGTATCACAAGAAAGGTTTATAGAATATTATTGTGCTAACAGACCGTCAGTTTGAGAAAAAAATGCCTTCCTGTATATTAGGGAAAACCTTTTTAAGAAATTAAAGACCACAGGAAAACATTTCTCTCAAGAAATGAAATTAAAGAGCATGGTAAGACTTGGCACTACCTCTTCAGAAAAGGTCCTTGTATCAGGAATAGTGTGGCCAGCAGGACAAGGGAAGTGATCGTGCCCCTGTCCTGTGAGGCCACACCTCGAATACTGTGTTCAGTTTTGGGCCCCTCACTACAAGAAAGACATTGAGGTGCTGGAACGTGTCCTGAGGAGAGCAGCGAAGCTGGTGAGGGGTCTGGAGCACAAGGCTTACGAGGAGCAGCTGAGGGAACTGGGGTTGTTTAGCCTGGAGAAGAGGAGGCTGAGAGGAGACCTTATCGCTCTCTACAATTGCCTGACAGGAGGCTGTAGCCAGGTGGGGGTCGGCCTCTTCACCGAGGTAACAGGTGATAAGACAAGAGGAAATGGCTTCAAGTTGCACCAGGGCAGGTTTAGATTGGACATTAGGAAAAAATTTTTTCGCTGTAAGTGTTGTCAAGCATTGGGAGGGGCTGCCCAGGGAAGTGGTGGAGTCCCCATCCCTGGAGGTATTTAAAAGACAGGCAGATGAGGTGCTTAGGGCCATGGTTTAGTGGTGGGATGGCAGGGTTAGGTTAACGGTTGGACTTGATGAACTTAACGGTCTTGTCCAACCTAAACAACTCTGTGATTCAGTCAGCAAGTGCAATTTGCACTGCTGTCACTTAGTGAGCAGAATGATCTGGTAGTTAATGCTTACCAGCAAGCTTATGTTCTTAAAATGAAAACATTTCTCCAGTTGTAGTGTGAAATGATGACAGAGAGACCTATTTCTTTCTGTCCATGTAATATGAAGTGACAAATCTGCTAATGAGCTTATGTCCTCTTATTTGCCGTCTTAAGAAGGTCTTAAATAGAATCTTGAAAGGTAGTTATTTCGCCCCCAAACTTCTGATCACTGTAACAGATCATCTGCCACGCTTTTGAAACTTCCTTTTCCTGAAACTTAGTAGTAAACTAGTAATACCAAAGTGTGTTTTGTGTTTACTGGGGATCAATCCCTGCATTCCTTAAAAACAACCTGTGTTTATCCCCTTAGATCCCAACAATAATAGCTGATAACGCTGGCTATGACAGTGCAGATCTGGTTGCTCAGCTCAGAGCTGCTCACAGTGAAGGGAAGACTACTTACGGACTTGGTAAGGGGCTTGGTACTACTTCTGGTATTGGATTGGGTGTTTGGGAGGGGGATTAGGCTTACTGAGCTTGGTCACATCTGTTTGTCACTGATGTGTTCAGCTGGAAGAACTGAATATGTTGATTTCCGTTTGCTTTGCGTAGAACGTAGGCACACTATGTTACATTCCTTTATTGTTCTATCAGGCTTTTCATGATAGAGTGAAAAGCTTTGTTTTTGAAGGGGATGGTTTCCACCTGTAAAAGCACTTTCCTGACTTACATTGAGTTTAGTTACATGAAGCTCAAAAAGACAGGCTTTGATTTAAAAAGAACGAACCAACCCAACCCCTCCCCCCAACTTAAAAAAAAAAAACAACAAAGTTTTTGAGAATTCTGAAGTTGATATACGTAAGGAAATTGCCCTGAGAGTCCTGTGGAATCTTGTCTCCTTTTCCCAGTGTATACATTTTTCATCATTTATTTTTTCTCATGTAATTGCAATGTTAGGCTTAAATCAGGAGCCTTGAAGTAAAGACTTTATTTAATACTTCCCTTATTATCTATGGTTCATTTGAGCAGGTAAGTTACCATACTGTCAGCTTCTTCTAATTACCTTTAAAAAAAAAACCAAAACAGTTAAAAAAGCCCATCCCAAACAAACTCTTAACCTATCTCTTCTTCTAGATATGAAAGAGGGTATCATTGGAGACATGGCAGTCTTGGGAGTAACAGAAAGTTTCCAAGTGAAGAGACAAGTTTTGCTGAGTGCAGCTGAAGCAGCAGAAATGATTCTTCGTGTAGATGACATCATTAAAGCAGCACCAAGGTATGATCTGAGTATCTGCATTGGTCAGTTACAATAGTGTAATCTTCTGTGAAAGAGTAACTGTGTAGGAAAGTCTTGTTCTAAAAAAGTATTTTATATGACATGAAGACTGACATCTGACATGCTAATACTCGTGTTACATGATTTTTTTTTTACATTAGGAGTATGAACAGGCCTTGAGAGCCATCAGTGCACTTAAACTAGTGTGCCTGAGCAATCAATGCCTGGTTAATCTGAGGTCACCAGCTACTCATGTGCCATGTATAGTACTAAAACATCTGCAGAAGCGGCTGACCAAAATGTGAGGGGATCATGCTGCTTTTTTTTTTTCTGTTGGGAAAAATTGTAGTTAAACACGCAGCTGCTTCTGAAGTGGGATTGGCAGCTAAACCAAAACAGCGTTTGTTAAAAAGTTTGGGAAGAAATTCCAGTTGTAGGCAGGTTTACCCACGCATGCCCGCTACCAGGTGGTGTGCGCTGTCTTGTGAATCGCAGGTTTTTGTTGCGGTCAAAAGGCAGTGCGTTAGCTTTGAGGCGATGCTGCCTTTTCTGCTGTGAGGTAAAGCCAGCGCTGAACACAAAACGTCAACTGAAAACTAAAAATAAGGGTGGGTGGGGAGGCTGGGGGACATCAACAGTGAGAATTTTCTGATTTTTTTTTTTTTCTTTTTCTCCCCAGAAAACGTGTACCAGACCATCGCCCATGTTAAATTTTCTTCAGTAGATGAGGACACGTGGACCAGGTCTCACCTAGCAATTTTTGTAATGATCTGATTTTTGTGAGGTTATGGAACAGAAGCTTGAGACAAGCATCTCCATCAATGGCATGAAATCACTGTCTTCAGTTGGTTTTAACTTATTTCAGTTTATATGTGTTGTGGGGAAGATTCACTTTCAAGTAAAACAGGGGGTTAATACAACCCCGTTCCTTCTGTTCCTCTCCAGGTTCCACTTAAGATACACAGAAATAATAATAAAAAATAAATTTAAATCCATCAAAGATGTATTTGTGTAGAACAGAGAAGGGCAGTCTCATTAGAAGAGCTGCGGTGCGTGTCCTCAGGCACTTCAGGCGATGATGGGGCAGTCGGGGCTGCGGACAGCCCCTCCGGCCTTTGCGGCTTCGGCTTGACGTGGCGCACGTAGCGCGAGCCGTTTGTTCCAGTCCTGGCTGTACAGGTTTTGAGTTGGGATCCTAGAGCTGGGCTCTGAAGTTAAATGTTACCCTTTTCTAGTGATAGTGGAGTATTACTCATTTTTTGATGATGAAAGGAAGAGAAAAAAGTTGAAGAGGAACCTTGGTCGATGCCCAGAACTACAACTTAAGGGATTTTACAGCTTTTTACACCACAAATTTTATGTAGATAGGAGTTCTGCTGAGGGGGGTTGAGAGGAAGATGCGGTTTGGGAAAGAGATCGGCATCCTGGGCCAAAGGGTCTGTGTGTTTGGCTATGAAATACCAGACTCAGGCTGGCTTTATGGACACCTGTTAGTGTGATAGTGGAAAACGCACCAGGCTGCTCTGCGTTCCCACTTTCTTGCCCCCTCTCTCATGTCTCGTGCAGCCTATCTTTATATTCTCCTAGCCCAGTAGTTGCTGCAAAGGCAATGTGTTTCTTAATTGGACTAGTTTCTGCTCAGGTCATAGGGAAGTCCCTGGTGCCTGCAGCAGTCATAGAGTCGTTTAGATTGGAAAAGACATTTAAGATCATCAAGTCCAACTGTTGACCTAACCCTGCCATCCCACCACTAAACCATGGCCCTAAGCACCTCATCTTTTAAATACCTCCAGGGATGGGGACTCCACCACTTCCCTGGGCCGCCCCTTCCAATGCTTGACAACCCTTTTTGTGAAGAAATTTTTCCTCATGTCCAACCTAAACCTGTCCTGGTGCAACTTGAGGCCATTTCCCCTCATCCTATTGCTTGTTACTTGGGAGAAGAGACCAACACCCACCTGGCTACAGCCTCCTGTCAGGGAGCTGCAGAGTCACCACGCAGATCTCAGTGACTGCAAGCAGAGACAAGTGGAGGCGCCCTGGCCACCTGGGAGCCCGGTGAGCGGGGCCAGCTGGCGCTGTGGCCCTCTTGGCCCTTGCAAGCGTAACGAAGCCGCCAAAGCAGGAACATTAACTGGAAATCAAGAAAGTATCTGTGCAAACGTTTTTCTCCCTTAGGTTTTCTGAAATGAAGAGAATCTGATTACAGAACCCTCCTCCAGACTCTCAGAACAGACTCTCTTCAGATCTCTGGAAGCGACAGCCCCGGGTAGAGAGCGCGGTGTTGAACACAAACCACCGACAAGCAGTGAAAGCACCGTCTTCCCCCCTGCTCCCCCAGATAAATAAAGTACCAATCAATCCCATAGGAAATAAAGCCTTGACCTTGGATGTCAAAAATGCCCTGAACTCTCATCCCATTGAATAATTCTGTTTTGTAGAAGAAGAAATAATTTGCTGGAACAGGATTAGATAAAGAATTTGGAAAGAGAGGATTCAGTTAATTCCAAAGAATGCTGGTTTAACTCGGCCAGACGCTAGTACGCTTTATTGCGTGTAACGAGTACGTGGGTGCCAGCCAGATCCAGACTCAGACTTCATCTAACAAGACAGCAAGTGCTAGCAGAGTCTATATAATTTCCAGATAATTTTTCAAGCATGTAAATGACGTTAAGCAGTCACGAACTGGCACCGAATCAAACCTTTTCGGGGAAGTCAGCTGCCGCTTCTGCCGGCTGCGCTGGTGAGACGGTTCCAGTGACGAGTGAGGCAGAGAGGGAAGTGGCTGCTCCGCGCCCCCAAAGGCTCCCCGCCCTTTTTAAAAAAAAAAAAAAAAAAGCTGTCTTTTACCAACCTCAACGATCCGTGCTGTGGACTCAAAAGCTAGGAATGCAATTTTGAGTCAGATTTCTCTGTTACACAATTAAAGCAAAACAAAGTTCAGTGCGTTTCCAAGGGAATCTGACAGGGCCTGAGTTGCAAGCTGGAGAAACACCCAGCTGCAGTCAACTGAGTACGGTTCTCCCCAGCTTCTGTGCAAGCCTGTAGCGGCAGGCTCCCAGCCCCGGGCTTTGCTCGTGCAAGTTTCCCTTTGCAGCTCTCGTGGCTTTTCCGGTTTAGTCAGGCTTTGATTTTCTTCTTTGCTTCTGCACGAAAACGCGGCAAGTGCAGCTGCCCTTAGAGCCGGCGCGGTCAGTGCCGTAGAAACCAGCAGCAAAGCCTCTCGCTTTCCTCACCGTCACTTAAAATGCTGCTGCTTGGCAATAGCAGAGCAAGACTGGTCGCTGATTTCCCAGGAAGGCAGTGGCAGCGGTGAGGGGAGAGCTTGCTGGTACGGGTGTGCCGTTTCCCGTGACAGCGCAGCCAGAGCTCCGCTACCGCTTCCCACCTGGCAGGCAGGGAAACCTTCGAGCTGCTGCCGCCGCATTTCGGGTAAGTCATTTCAGACAAATGCTGCGGGTTGCTTTGGAGCTGTGACGCCCAGCAGCAATCGTCACCTTGCACAGTGGCTTCCCGGTGAGCCCAGACACCTCAGCAAGGTGGAGGGCAGAAGAGCGAGCCCGTGGGTGAAGAGCAGCGAGTCCATATGTGCTCTGTACGATCTGCCCATGGAAAACGTCTGAATTGTGTCTTTGTCTCTGCTGCGAGCTCGGAGTGGTCCCAAGTGGGAGGAAGGGGAAAGGGAGGAAGTCTTGGCTCTACGGAGGGTGCTGGGTGCTGCGCAAAGGGGGGCGTCTGTGCGAGAGAGCGTTGCTGTCACCTGGGTCTGAACTAGCGCCTGCTCCTGAGGAGCAGCCCGGCGGCGTGGTGCTCCTGGGGCACCAGCAGGAGAGGGAGAGGGAGAGGTTGGGCAGCGTTGTGGGTGCGCTGAGCCTGTGCCAGCACGGGCGGCCGAGCATCAGCAGGGCTCGGCTTCAGGCTCAGCCTTGGTGGCAGGAGGTGGTGATGGTTTCTCATCGAGCGTGATTTCTATCACTGCCCCAGACCGCTTGCGGGGCTCGGGGGTCTCCTCTGACCATCTCCCCACCCTGCGCACCCCTTTGGCCACTTTGGGTGCGTTCCTGCAAGGATTGTGGTCGTAGATCACCAGCTTCAGGCCGGAGAGGTGAGCCAGGCTGGGGAAGAACCGGATGGAGTTGCGATCCACGTCGATCACCTCCAGAAAAGGCATGTCCAGGAGCACGGGGGGGAACTCAGACAGCAGGTTGCCCGAGAGCCAGATGGTGCGCAGCTCCTGCAGGCACCGCAGCTGGGCGGGGAGCGCGCGCAGCGCGTTGGAGCCGGCGTGCAGGGTCTTGAGCAGGCTGAGCTCGCACACCACCTCGGGCAGGCACTGCAGGCAGTTGGACTCAATCCAGAGGGTCTTGAGGTTCTGCAGGAGCCGGAGCTCAAGGGGCAGGCTGCAGAGCTTGTTGTTGCCCAGGTAGAGGATGCACAGCTGCTTCAGCGTGCACACGACCAGGGGCAGCGCTTTGAAGTTGTTGAAGTCCAGCGCCAGGATCTGCAGGTTTTGCAGCTGCTCCAGCTCAGGGGGCAGATGGTTCAGGTTGTTGTCGCTCAGGTACAGCTTGACCAGTTCCCTAAAAGAGCAAATGTGCAGAGGCAGCCGCCTCAGCTGCCTGCCGCTCAGATCCACCATTTTATCCACTGGCATCTCTTCTAGGTCTTCCAGGAGGTACCTCTGGCACTCGTCGGAGGGCACAAAAGCGACTATGGCTTTCAGGCTGTTGCCCATCCCGGGACTTTCTTTCTTTGGGGATCGCCGGGGCTGTAAGGGACAGGGGCCTGCCTTGGTCTTCTCCTGCTGTGCACTGGCCTGCTGGTAAGTCCGTCTTCCCAACCCCCCCACCCCCACTTTCCTTCTTGCCTCTTCCTGCATACTGTAAATGTTCTCCAATTTTGCCCCAAACTGTCGCCCTGAAGCCCCAGCCCCTCACCTCTCGCTCCGGCTGCGCTGTCTGTGCAGCTGGTGCTGGCTGCGGGGATTGGCTCTAGAAAGTAAACACCACAGAAGACCAAATTTTTGAACTCAGATGTTTAGCTTTCATGAAACTTTCAGCAGAAACATCGGATGTAATCGAATTGGTGTTTAAAATACCTGTCAAGGCTTGACTGACTTTCCAGACGACTGGCACTTTTAGGGATTTACTTTGCAAGGTGCCAAATACATAATTTCAGAGTGTTACTTGCTGCCGCAGTACTTATCTTAAACCTTTAACACAAATACTTGGCAAACTGCTATCTTGAGCTGTTCTACTATTTATGTTCCTAATTTAATGGTGTTTGCTATAGCCTCTGGCACTCCTGACTGTGTAGGGCCTTTTTCATTACATTATGTTTTGCTTCTTGTCTGTATCCTCGTTTAATACGCTCACTATCACAACCTGCCAAGGCTGTTCCCCGGCTGCCTTCCGACTGTGCTACTGCAGGTCCCGTGTCTGTACCAAAACCTGGCTAGAAACTGCCATGGATTTAATTCCATCAAGATTCTCACTTGCTATGACTGAGGAAAATATGATGTTAAAAGTTTAGGTGTGATGGCGTAAACTGTTCCCCTCCTTCTCTCAGCAGGACCCATTGCTGTTCAGGTGAGGAGCACCTCTGATTTCTAGGAGGAGCCTTCTCATGTGTAGGCACCTCTGTGTACTTTGGCTTCTTGAGCTGCTGCTGTTTTAAGCTTTCTTGGGGATTGTCCCACTTGTGTGTTGGCCACGATCTTCGGGTTTGAAAGCTGGCAGAGTGTTTTAAGGTGAAATAGCCCTTCCAGCTCTCTGCTTTGGAATCTACAGCTCGTTGCTGTCATTTCCCACACTTACACTCCTATTGAAGGAGGATCCTTTCTTCAAACAACCTGCAGTTGGTTTCTGGGCATTAGGTGCTTGCTACACAAGCAAAATATGTGATTGCTGAGAGCCACGTATTCTTAGAAAAACAAAGGGCAGAACAAACAGAAGATTGAGAAAAAGGCACTATCAAACAGTTAAGGTAGCCTCTGGATCTCTGGCCAAATCTGCTAATACAGATTTGTATTACCATTGCTTGCTTTCAGATGTAAAGCAGCTCTCAGCTGTCAATGGTCTATAGGCTATAGGATGTTTACTAGTCTTTTCCCTGCAAGATCAGTGGCTGTGGCACACAGCAGTGATGGCATGAAGGATGTATGGAGGGTTTCCTGGGGGAGGACAATAAAAGAGAGGGCATCAGGGGACCAGTATTGCTGCGGGATGGAGAACAGCAAGTGCTGCGACCTGAGTGCCATGAAATAGGTTTTGGAGGGAGAAGCTGGGCAGAGTATCAAGCTTGGAGAACAAGGATACATTGCAGTCATCTGTGGCTGTGCTGCGGAAGAGAGGGGAAATGGCCTCAAGTTTCCCCAGGGGAGGTTTAGGTTGGACATTAGGAAAATTTTTTTCACTGCAAGGGTTGTCAAGCATTGGAACGGGCTGCCCAGGGAAGTGGTCAAGTCCCCATCCCTGGAGGTATTTAAAAGATGGGTAGATGAGGTGCTTAGGGACATGGATTAGTGGTGGGGTGGCAGGGTTAGGTTAACGGTTGGACTTGACAATCTTAAAGGTCTTTTCCAACCTAAACGATTCTATGATTCTATGAAAATCTGCTCTCTCAGGACAGAAGGTGGGACATGCTGGGCGCAGCATGCTAGCAGAAAGAGCCGGTT